TAAGCCGCTTCTGGCGAACCAGAGCAGTGCACGGAAATGCCGTTTACCTTCCCGCCAGAGTGGTACCTATTTATCTACTTGCACTTTGACGTGCTTTCGAACTGCTAGGTGGGCAGGAGCAGGGACTGAGCAACGGGAGCTCACCCCATCATGGGGATTCGAACCACCAACCTTCTGATCAGCAAGTCCTAGGCTCTGTGGTTTAACGCACAGCGTCCCCCGCGTCCCCCAGGTCTGTAAAGAGGCCTGCAAATGTGACATGGAGGCTAGCAACATTAACCCCGCCGTGTGGCAATCCCTTGCGGAAGACCACAGCTCCTGGAGAGAGACAGCCAAGACATGTATCCACAGCAGTGACCAGAGGAGGAATGACCGCAGGGAGGAGCACAGAGAGAAGGAACACAGTGGAGCATCTGCAGCAGCACAACCGGACGCCTTCATCTGCCCCAGCTGCAACGTAACATGTCTCTCCTGTATCGGTCTCTACAGCCACAGCAACTGTAGCTCTGTGCTGCAACCTGCCAGCAGTTTGACTTCTCCCTGAATAGGCGCATTCCTCCATTGTCTCCCAAGACAGACAGGTGCCATCAAACCTCCAAGGGTCCCATGACAGTGGCGGATCTACTTTGAAACTCATGAAGCTTCAGCTTCAGGGGCCCTGGTCTCAGAGGAGTGCCAGAAGCAACCTGAGTTGACCTTGCTTAATTTTTTTTTTGGGGGGGGGGGTCTAGTGGACCCAATTGGAGTTGCATGGAATTGAGCCAAATGGATTCATTTTTCGTTGTTTTTATTTCCATGATTCCAAGGTTTGACAGATGTGGCAAAGGTTTGGCGATCAGTCATGAAACAACCCCATGAAAAAAATTAGCAGGAGTTAACCAGACCTTACCAAGGGATGTGGGTGGCACTGTGGGTTAAAACACAGAGCCTAGGACTTGCCAATCAGAAGGTCGGCAGTTCGAATCCCCGTGACGGGGTAAGCTCCCGTTGCACGTTCCCTGCTCCTGCCAACCTAGCAATTCGAAAGCATGTCAAAGTGCAAGTAGATAAATAGGTACCGCTCCGGCAGGAAGGTAAACAGCGTTCCCGCGAGCTGCTCTGGTTTGCCAGAAGTGGCTTAGTTATGCTGGCCACATGACCCGGAAGCTGTACACCGGCTCCCTCGGCCAGTAAAGCGAGATGAGTGCTGCAACCTCAGAGTCGGTCAAGACTGGACCTAATGGTCAGGGGTCCCTTTACCTTTACCTTTAACCAGACCATGGCAGTTCAAGCTTCAGGGTCCCTGAAATGCAGAGCTTTTTTTCTAGCCAGAACTTGCTGGAAATCAGTTCGGGCACCTCTCAGGTGGGCGCCATTGCCATTCTAAGAGAACGACTGGGGGTGTTCATGGTGAGGTCTGGTACCTCTTTCTCTAGAAAAACAGCCTTTTCAAAATGTAGGCCCACCGGCATTCCAAGCCAGAGGCAAAAGTTGGCCAAGCAAGGGATGCGAGTCCTATCTTTGTATATTAGGCTACATCCCAGTCATGCCCAAGGCTTTTACATCCCTACCCAGTGCCCAGCTCTCTTCATCCTCCATCCATCCAAGCAAAAGGACATGATTAAGGCTGAAAGATAGATATCAGCTAGGCCACAATGCTCAAGGACATATGGAACAGAGTCAGCGAGGAGAGCAGTGTGGGGAGAAGGAGTGTCCTGAGATGGGTGTGTGGCCTACCAAGAGTCTGAAGAAGCAGGTGGTGAAGCCTGTAGGTTCAGATTCTTGGGCCTGAAACCATAACCTCCAACATTTCTCTGATGAAAATAGTTCCCGGTTCAATTCCTGGCATCTCTAGGTAAGGCTGAGAAAGACTTCTGCCTGGACTCCTGCAGAACTGCTTGCTGGTCGGAGCAGACAATAGTGAGCTGCACTAGTTCCATGCCCTACAACATTTCTCTGATGAAAATAAGGACATCCCATTCCATAATGATAATTTTACTATTTATACCCCACACATCTGGCTGGGTTGCCCCAGCTACTCTGGGCAGCTTCCAACATATATAAAAACATTATAAAACATTAAAAAAACAATGTCCCAATACAGTCGTACCTTGAATGCCTTGTGACTCAAACGTTTTGGCTCACTGGAAGTGAGTGTTCTGGTTTGTGAATGTTGTTTGGAAGCTGCTTTTGCCGCTTCCGACTGAGTGCATGAAGCTCCTGCAGCCAATCAGAAGCTGCGCCTTGGTTTTTGAACATTTTCAGAAGTCAAATGGACTTCCGGAACGGATTCCGTTCAAGAACCAAGGTACGGCTGTACAGGATTGCCTTCAGATGGCTCAGGGAGTCGGATAACTCCTTACCCTCCAACATTTCTCCAGTGAAAATAGGACGTCCTGAGGAAAACTGGGACCTTCCGGATCACATCAGAAACTGGGGCGGCTTCTCCAAAGCAGGGATGTCCCCAGAAAACAAGAAAACTTGGAGGATCTGTGGAACTTTTGGGTCTTGCTCTGAACCTGGCACCTCCTGCTCTGCCTTTTGACATAGATGCATCCTCAGTGACCTTAGTTCGGAGGAATGTGCTGGAACCCCTCCGTGTTTGGACATGGGGGGTTGCATAGCAATGTGTTAAAGCAATGGGATTATCGCAGGAGATGCCTCGCGAGTGCCACGGTTCGTGTGCCAGAGGAGCAGAGACAAGAGCTCATTAACTCTCCCTCCTCCACAGGCCCACGCTCAGAGAGGGATGCTGGCACCGCGCTCCCTGCAACCGAGGAGACAGGGAAGACGTGTAATTAAACATGATACCCGATACACAGCCTTCCACTTCTGCTGCCCTTTCAACCATTTGCACTACGGCTGTGTCTTAGGATCTCAGATAACTTGCCCTTTCATTATCTTCATTAGGGAACTGCTTAGAATGAGGATTCGGGGCCATAGTTCAGTTCTTGGCATATGCGTCTCTGGAGATATACAAAATGTTCTGGTGGACAAAGAGCAAGTTTTTAAGCTTCAATTTAACGGGAGCACCGCGTTTCGCATGTTAGCCAGCAGATGGCGCCATTTATCATTTATTGACACTGGTGAAACAGCTATTTTCTCCCTTTTAATTTAGAAAGTATTATAACCAAAGTGTTTTCAACTTATTATTATGCATGAGCGAAAAAATCCCATGAATGTGTAAAATTTCTCCCGCATTTCCCTTTTTATAACATCATTTACATTCCGTATTAATAATTAAAAATCTTCAGGATTTTAATCACTTTTCTCATCACTAAAATATCTAATGGAGAGATCTATCCACCCACCTTCCCCGCACCCCACAACTTGAAGGTGAAATAGAGGGAAACTACTAAGCAGGGGGGGAAAGAGACTGCAAAAAATCATTTGCTCAAGGTGTGCAGAATCGCTTCCTGTTCTTTGTGCGTTGGATGAATACGGTTTACAAAATCCTCAAGATTTCAATAGTCTTGATGTTAATGGAGAAAAACACACACTATTTATTATTTTTTTTGCGGCGTGCAAGTTTAATTATGGCGCTGTTTGTCTGATAGCTTGTTACTGTAAATAAAAGAGATAAAAGGAGCCCTTCAGTTGAGTAGCTCCAAAGCTGTGAAATATGTACCCAATTAAAACTATTGGTGTAAGAGGCTAATAAAGTACATGTGGCTCCTCGATGTCTTATTCTAATGAATCTCGGCTAATTTGCTTTGACTGATGAATTTCGGCGTTAGTAGTAGGGGCTGAATAATTATGAAATTTATCACAAGATACAAGGACTCATTAAGTATTACTCAGGTTCAGCTGAGGAATGCTTTCTTTTGTCGTAGGCGCAGTCCTAAGCCTAAAACAATTAGGAGGCGCCTAAGAGGGCCCAGTTTGCCTTCCAGCTGATGAGATCCCATTCACAAGGACGTAGGACTGAGGGAAGGAAGGTCACAGCATGGAGAAGGCACCTGTGTTTCATTAGGAGACAGCGAAATCCGCCATGGCAAGTCCGTCCTGGAAAGAAATATTTATTGCAGCAACCGCTCTTTTTTAATCCGCCCACCAGGATACTTTTCGTCACATTTTGAAAGAGGAAACGGGAGGACAGGACTTATGATTATTGGGTTTTTATAAAGAAAGTTAAGACTGGAGGACTTTGAAAGAGCCTGTTGCTCAATCCCCACCCAAGCGGTCTTCATTTGACAATTTGTTTCCCCCTGTTTTTCAGAAGCAAATCAGTGTTGAGTACCTAAGAATGCAAGCCATTCCTCCTTCAGCTCTGAGAAGTTTGGTGTAAGTCAGGCTTCCGAATCTCTGTTGTCTGAGTCTTCCCAACCTGCCAGGAATTGAGCCCTTCTTTTCAATTTCCATTTCTAAATGGACTTTCTACTTCGGTAAAGGTAAAGGTAAAGGTACCCCTGCCAGTACGGGCCAGTCTTGACAGACTCTAGGGCAGTGGCGTAGCGTGGGGGGTGCAGGGGGGGCCGGCCGCACCGGGCGCAACATCTGGGGGGCGCGCGCTCGCACTCGCAGCTCTCTGCCCCTACTAAAATCCACGGGTTAGGGGGCGCAAATTACTTGCCTTGCCCCGGGTGCTGACAACCCACGCTACGCCACTGCTCTAGGGTTGTGCGCTCATCTCACTCTAGAGGCCGGGGGCCAGCGCTGTCCGCAGACACTTCCGGGTCACGTGGCCAGCGTGATGAAGCTGCTCTGGCGAACCAGCACCAGAGCAGCACATGGAAACGCCGTTTACCTTCCCGCTATAAAGCGGTACCTATTTATCTACTTGCACTTAACGGTGCTTTCGAACTGCTAGGTGGGCAGGAGCTGGGACCGAACGATGGGAGCTCACCCCGCCACAGAGATTCGAACCGCCGACCATGTGATCGGCAAGTCCTAGGCGCTGAGGTTTTACCCACAGCGCCACCCGCGTCCCTCTTCAGTATGATTCTACTTCGGTAGAATCATAGAATTGGGAGGGACCACGAGGGTCATCTAAGTCCAATCTCCTGCAATGCAGGAATCTTTTGCCCAATGTAAGGATCGAACCCACAACCCTGAGATTAATTGTCTCATGCTCTACCGACTGAGGTATAAGCAGCTTGTTGCTCACCCCGTTCGTCTTGTGGTCCCTCGGCTGAAACACTTGTTGCGGGTCATCCCTTCTGTTATGTACTGAGCTGAATCCTAGAACAATAGGATCCAGAATGCAGCAGTCTGACTGGTCCGCAGGAGCCACCCAATCAGGCTCCTGGATGAAGTGAATCCGCAACCTGATTGGCCTACAGGAGCAGCCCGGAATTAGCCAATCACGCGGGGCCCATTGTGTAAATAATGTATATATAGCTAGACGTTTTGGGGAAAGTTTCATTCATTGCTACTACGAGTTGAATAAAGAGCATGAAATTCACACTCGACTCTGAGTATATTTCACCTTCCAATCCTGTATCTCCATAGTCTGAATAGAAGGTGACATTCCTGCTATAGAGAATAAATAGACCACACTGGTCTTCCAGCCTCTTATCTTATACTAGTCAATCTGGCTCAAAAATGTGCTTAACCTCAACCTTTTGCAGCATTTTTCTCCTGAAGAAAGGTAGGAAAATGATTTGAAGCAGTGCCATTTTTCTAGAAAAAGAGGTGCCGAAACTCACCACCAATGCCTCCCTTGTTCTCTTATAATGGCAATGGCGCCCATCCGAGAGGTGCCGGAACTGATTTTCTGGTGATTTCTGGCTGAGAAAAAAGCCCTGATTCTGAAAAAAAACATTCCAAACTTCAAATTCATAAATAATACTTTGAATTTACATACAATTTAAGGTGCACTGTGGCTGAAATGTTCAAGGTCTGAAATGATTCAACTTTGGTTGGATCATGGCCAATATGAGTCTCAATGTCTTAAGATTAATTACCCCTTATCTATTTAAATTTGAAGTGTTGCACAGGAATTTGAAGCTGGAGATGGCCATTTTCAGATGGCATGGGGCTCGTTTTTCTGTCTTAGTCAGGCGTGTCTAAACTTTTTTCAAAGAGGGCCAGATTTGGTGAAGTGAACATGTGTGAGGGCCGACCAAATATGTCAAGCTTTTTAAAGAGAGTAGGCCTTCCACACCACCAAAAAAAGAATCAAAAAGAAAAGGAGAAGAAGAAGAAGAAGAGTTTGGATTTGATATCCCGCTTTATCACTACCTGAAGGAGTCTCAAAGCGGCTCACAATCTCCTTTCCCTTCCTCCCCCACAACAAACACTCTGTGAGGTGAGTGGGGCTGAGAGACTTCACAGAAGTGTGACTAGGCCAAGGTCACCCAGCAGCTGCATGTGGAGAAGCAGGGAATCGAACCCAGTTCACCAGATTACAAGTCCACCGCTCTTGTGAGGAATTTTCCCTAAGGGGTGATTCTGGGAGGCTTTCGGTATGCGATAGAGCTTATCTTCCTGAGAACTTTGGCCTGTGTTGTTCTTTCACTGCAATATGTTTGGAGTTAAACTTCCCAGAGGACTGTTAGTCCGGTCAGTTGGGAAAGAGGACAAGACTCCTTCTTGCACTTTTAATAGAGAGAATTTCAGCAGGTGCCATGCAAGTGATACTTGCGGATGCAACTGCCTTGCGATCTTGTCCCACCTGTCGAATGTGCATGCAGAAACCAGGAAAGGATCTGCACAGGTCCAGATGTGCAGAGATCAGATGTGTGATAGGGGCCCATCTGATTTACATCAAACTCCATTCCCACATAGGCCCCCCTCTTTTTCTTTGTGGCCAAATAGCAAGAGCATTGATGGGCTTCCCACAGTATAATCTGATGCCATTAGGAAACAATGTAAAATCCATTCTGTTTTAAGAATCCCATAAATTCAAATCCACTTTTTGTTATTTTGAGGCGGAGGGGAGAAGGTTGGAATGACTCATGTTTTTTAGGAGGTTGGCAATGCGAGGACATTCAGTTACCCCAGCTGTCAGGAAGTCTCAGCGAGCGAGGGAGGATTTGTCACAATTTCTGACGTTAATTGTCACATTTATCAATTATGCTAATAATGAAGGCACTCCATCTCTGGCACTTACTTCCCATCCTTTCGCTGCCCCAAGTTGCTCGACAAGTGATGCAGCCTTGTTTAGGCTGTAGTCCTAAGCAAAGTTGCTAGAGAGCAGGTGTAATATACTCTGGCATGAACATTCATACAGGGCAGCACATAGTGAAAAGATATATGAGGATCAAGACTATTGTGCTAATCAATAAATGGACCAATCCTGGGCTTTAAACTAGCCTTGTTGACTTGCAGAGCAATCCTAACTACAGAAAGCTGGCGTAAATTATATTGGCATCAGCGGGACGCGGGTGGCGCTGTGGTCTAAATCACGGCTTGCCGATCAGAAGGCGGCAGTTCGAATCTGCGTGATGGGGTGAGTTGCTGTTGCTCTGTCCCAGTTTATGCCAACCTAGCAGTTCAAAAGCACACCAGTGCAAATAGATAAATAGGTACCATGGTGGCAGGAAGGTAAACGACATTTCTGTGCGCTCTGGTTTCCATCATGGTGTTCTGTTGTGCCAGAAGGGGTTTAGTCATGCTGGCCACATGACCCGGAAAGCTGTCTATGGACAAACGCCAGCTCCCTCGGCCTGAAAAGTGAGATGAGTGCCGCACCCCATAGTCACCTTTGACTGAACTTAACTGCCCAGGGCTCCTTAACCTTTACCTACCTACACTGGCACCAATTATTTCAACTCCAGTTTCACCATTGAGGAGGAATTTTACTTACATCGCCCTTTTCCCGGTTAAGTTCCGTCAGGTTGCTAGGTCAAGTGACTGACCCCAAAAGGGGTTTGGAATAGGTGCAAGGCTCTCCTTACACCATCCCACCCTTGTCCAGTCCCCATCACACTGCTGGAACGACCCTTTTGGGGGCAAATTATACTGGTGTAAGTTTCACCGGCTGAGCTGGCCCAAGATCTACAGAATCCAAACTCTCCCCCCACCAGCGTCTCTTGGGTTCGGATTGTGCTGTTAGTTGGGACACAATGGATTAAAACTCCATTGTTGCAGCTTGAGTTCTTTGAAGTGACTGCATTACCTCTTCAAATCCGCCAACCGTTTGCGGAGCTAAAAAACAAGTTCTCGAGGCTGCATGTACGTGGCTAGAACAGGAGAAGTTCTCAGTCCTTGAAACACATACAGGACACACAGCTCAGAGTGGTCTGCATGCAAAAGGTGCCAAGTTCAATCCCTGGCACCTCCAGGTAGGGCTAGGAGAGACCTGTCTACAATGCCGGAGAGCTGCCGCCAAGCCATGTAGACAATGCTGACTTAGAGGGACTTAGAATAAGACTGTGATTCCTGAATTGTAGGGGTCTGAACTAGACAACTCTTCGGATCCCTTCCAGGTTTACAATGCTATGGTCCTATGAGTCTAAGGCAGTTTATGGTGCTCCTACATGGTCCTATGGCGTGCTCTGGTCCATGGGGTCACGAAGAGTCGGACACGACTAAACGACTAAACAACAACAACAACATGGTCCTATAGTCTGTTAGAATTCCTGCTCCGTGATTGCTGTCATGGGATTTTTGTCTATCACATGATGGTGTATGTTTTGACTCCACAGAGTGGGAAGTGATGGAGACAGGATGCTTGTGTTACTGTGTTCCGTGAAGTGAGACTATTGTCCTTTGTTCTTTTTCTCTTGCTGTCTGATGCTAGAGAGAGAGGGAGCCATGTTGCAGTGCTCTGTGTGTGTTTATATGTAACTAAAGTAGATTAGCCAAAATGCTGAGGTCTGTTACGCAGCTGTGAAGACTCTGCGGATCCCTAAGTGTGCCGGTGTTGGTTGGCATCAGTCGCTGTGATGTTTGGGCAGGAGAAAGCTTTTGAACCTCCCGAACGAAAGACCAGGAGGGAGGGAACATGCCAGTCGGGCATGTGTCTCTGCCAGGGTCCTACTCGAGAGTAGGACGAGCTCCTAACATTAGGTTCACCCCTTGGCTTCTCCAGGTTGTTGTTGTTTCTTTAAGGACCAGGTAGCAGGTGATGTAAAGGACTGCTGCCTGAGTTCCTGGGGAGCCATAGGCACCTGGAAAAGACAATATTGGGTTAGATTAGGGCTGCAAAATGGCATCCGGGCAGATTGTTGCTGAATCAGCAAAATGTCTGGGAAAACCTGAACGTATGGCAAGTAGGGCGATTTTTTAAAAAAATGTTTAAAAATCCAAAAACAGCCCCCAAACTGTTGGTTTTTTGGGGGGGGGGCAGGGGCGAGGGGGAGATATTCCCAAAAATAGCTTTTTAAAAAGCATGTTTGCTCAGCTGTGGCATGAATCATGTGCATGTTGGTGCCCAGCAGAAGTGCTAAACAGACCTCAAGGCCATATAACCAGATTAGCCAGCACCACTGTCTTAATGATGCAATCCAACCTCTGACATATCAACATCAGTGGCAGAGCTAGCATCACTAAAATGGTGACGATGGAGAGTTTAGGCCTGCAAAGAAGTACGCAAGGTGACTAAGGCACATAGTTCCTCCCCCCCCCCCCCCGCCAATTCCGGGCTGCTCCTGCAGGCCAATCAGGTCACTGATTCACTTCCACCTGGAGCTGGATTGGGTGGCTCCTGCGGACCAATCAGACTGCTGCATTCAGGATCCTATTTTTCTAGGATTCAGCTCAGTACATAACAAGCTCCAAAGCCCTTTTCAGGAATTTGGCTTAGAAGTTAAGCCTAAACTTCTGGAGGCTGCCCATCTGAAGTGGGGAACTTATGAACAGGAGTCTCCAGGGGTACAGGAAGCTCCCCGGCTTTGGACAGATGACCTCCCCATGTTGATGAGCAATGGGATTGGCTGAATCCCATCCAGTGTTAAAATGTGTCATATAAACAGGAGCAGCCAGGAGGGACATTCATTTCCACTGCCATTTGAGCAGCAAGACCATTGGTGTTTTGCAGGGCAGGCTACTGGTGATGAGGTTGGAACACTGTGCTATCTGCTCCAGTACATAAATACAAACATTTAACTGGAGATGCTGGGATCTGACTTTGAGTCCTTCTGCATGCAGAAACTATGGTTCCCTCCTTGGCTCCTGCTGGCTACTTCACTTGCTAGCAGGGATAGCTA